AGCAAAAGAATAAATGGATTTTCTATCCACAGCCAGACTGCTCTCTGAACCTGGTTTCAGTTCTGTGTTCAAGAGTGGCATTGGAAGGTCGTTTATCCCAGCAAGATCGTTTTGCACATGTGGATGCGGACTGTAGGGGTTAAGAGGGTTGACTAAATCAATATATTTAGTTTCTTGTTCTTGGAACTCGGATGTAAGATCATGTACAAAGTCTGAATGCAGCTTCTGATCTGTAGTCCCTGTTGGTAAATCTGAAGAATCTCTTTTGAAAGCCTGCATATACAGTGAATTAGAGAGGGTGATTTGCTTACCAACTACCTCATTGAAGCTCCTAGATATTAAACTACTCACAACCAGAATCAGATTAAATTTTTTATTTATCTCATTGTAAAATGCCATTCAAAAGTCAATAATTAGAAACAGACACGGCAAGAGGATGAAATTATCTCAATAATGAGAAAATATCTCAGTGGAGCATTCAAAATTTTGGAACTGTCTGAAATTTAGATAAATAATAATGTCTAACAAAAAGTTAAACCTATCTGCACCTTCCACTCCTGTGAGACCTGTATTTGACTGTCAAACTCCTGCCTTCCGCTAATGCTGTTGGTTAAAAATTGCCCAGGTATTTCACGGTCTTGTTTAGGGAATGCTCTAATGGTATCAGATTGCGATGAGACACATGAAGGTTGGAAAGGAACAGATTCAACAGCAGGAGTACCATTTCCCAAGACATTCTCCCGTGACCAAAAGTCCAGATGTTTCTTGGGATCATATGTCAAACCTGTGTCATTTCCGTCTTTACATTTATTGGCCTGACTGAGTGAAAAATCCATCCCACTAATGGTTGATAAGTTTCCTTGATAACCATCTGCCAAAAGTATCACCTTGAATTTAGAAAAGTCATTCTACATGCATATTTCATGTATTAAAAGGATATATATATTAGATCATGACAAAATAATGGAAAATGTCAAGTTATACGCTTTTACTCGAAAATGGAACAGTAGAATAAGGGTCATAATATCCAGCATTAATATTCTCCATTGCAGGTTGTTGTGGCTCGAGAGAAGAGTGAAATCTCGAACTTGCTTGTTGATTATAAACTGTACAATATATTATTGCATATAAGAATATGAAAATTAAGGCATCTGGAAGTCAGAAAAAGGAGTCCTAGTTCTTCTAAAATGTGTAAATTTTTTTTATAAATTATTAATAGTACATATTCCAAGCTTAAAAGGTGCACCTGATTCAGCATCCTCATATTCTGTTGCCTGAGTACCATTCACACTTGTTGCATCTGTAGTTTGAGAATGCATGTGGTGATCACTATGATGAAAAATGGAAGAGGCAGCAGTATCCAACTCATTAGATATAGCTTCTTCAGCTTCTTGAGAATATGGAATAGTTTCTCCAGTTTCTTTGATTCGGTTAAAATGTGCCCTACTGCTCTGCTATTTTTCAGGGGTAAATAACAATAGAGAGAGAGAATTTCAAGGCGAAAATCTCAATACTTAGAAAAAATTTTCAGTGCTGCATAAGACAACCAATAATATGAACTAACTTATGGTCCTTCTTGGTCAAACAAAAAACACTAACAGCATTGTGAGGAACAACTGTTTAAGCATATTCCAGTTGGAAACTAAAGAGAAAAGATAGATCAGTTTAATCCATGACATAGCATTTAAGATTTACAGTTTCCACAGAGGAGATTTTGTGGCTTTTACAATGTCAGAGCATTGTTCAGAGTTTCTAAAAGTATTAAACCCAGCCCCTTCCTATCTAAATAAAGCCTAAATATCCAAAAGTAGAGTGACGATTTTCAGATGAGGGCAATAATAAAATCAGAGTGATGTTCAAGCATATGAGAATTTAAAGGGATGGTCTTCTTTGCTTTCATTGCGAAATTTGAGGCAATAATGGTCTTCTTTGCTTTCATTGCGAAATTTGAGGCAATAAATACCATTTTGCTCTTCATTCCAAAAGCCTTTACACAGTAAATAATTGCCATAGTTCATGATAATGTCTAAGCCATGTCTTTTAAAATCCCCCTAACTAACTACTTTCTAAGGGGCTATGAGCAAAACCGTTCTACCAAGCCTTCCGCCTTTTGAAGAGAGGAGTGAACAGAAAGGAGAATTGCCAAAGAGAGAAACTGATGGTACTCTCGATTAAAAAGAGAGGAATAAGGAGCTAAGAGGCCCCACTGTACTTGAGTTCATAAAAGAAAGTTTATTAGTTTCCAGCAAGTCTTAGAAATTATCCTCTTGTTAAAAAAGCCTGTGAGAAATGCCTTATAATTAGGATTTCATGGGCAAGATCACTAGATTCGGGCGTGAGAAAACCTAGCAATCTCTTTCCTAATCAATTGTACCAGCCTTTCCAGCAGTCCTTCGTTCTCCATTCCAGTAGTAAAGATCCTTTTAAGTTGATATAGATGATTCACAGCAATTCTAAGACACTTTCGCACATAAAGTATCAATGTCATAATTTCCTCCAGTTCATGTGGGTATCAGTCTAGTACTTTCTTTACCAAATCAGCCAAGTGATATTTAATAAAAAAAAAATCCACCAAGCGATAACTATATTCTTTGTAAACTTTACCACAAAGATGTGCAAGCAAGCAATGAAAAAAATAAAAAACAAATGAAAGGACATAATCTAACCGTTACTTCTCGGTAGTGGACAAGCACTATATGTGAGAGCTCCCTGCAATAACATTTAATCAATTACTTAAGTAAGCAACTAAAAGAAAATTTTATCTTATGAAAAAGGGAGATTAAGTATCCTCTACAGATATTTCTTTTTGTTTTTTACAGAAGAAGGAGATATCATTGAAAAGCACTAACAAAATAATATTTGAATCTTAATTCTTGCCTTGGATTAGATAACAAATTCCAGGACAAAGATTATAAGTTTTCCAGCTATCACCTAAAAAATTATTCCTTTTTAAGTTAAATTTAATACTACATTCACGAACAAATGGATCTATAACCAGCCATAACCAAGTCCTTTTCTTTCAACACCAAAAAAAAACTAACATTTATGCTTATGCACAAGGAAGGTAGCGAAATTGACTACCATTTGCTAGGCTCTTTAAGATTCGCAAAAATGTAAAAAAGTTTCTAAATTCTTTAAAATTCACAAAAATGTACAAAAAAATTGAGAAAACATTTGGTATCCCAAACACATGAACAAGTAGGACATATGACAATTTTTAGGTTAAAAGAGTTTTCTGCAAAAACAGCAAAGCCAATTAAACTTCTATGACCTTAAAAAATAGAACGAACTTACTCTTCAAGCAACCAATAACAGCGTCTCTGGAAATTTTCGTTTTCTTCTCCATGGGCATAGTAGCAATGCAAGACATCCACACTTCCAGCCTGAAATAGTGTACTTCTGCTCAATATCCTAATTGGAAACAAATAGTTTTCCCAAGAAAAGAGTACTAATGACAGTTTGTAAGACAACATGAGAATGGTAACATCTTGCATATGACAACTTACACTTAACTATCTTTTACTAAGATTCCAAAAAAACATCTCCTACTAAAATTAGGGCAGAGCTTCCCAATATTAAAAGGGAAATAAAAACAATCATTCTTCAATTCATACCTTCAGCCTTTCATGAGCTTCTTTTACCGTCTTACCATCTTTTTTCTTCCTCCAGTTATGGCCATCTTTTCTAAAGTATCTAAGCACCTTCCGGTCAAAAAGAAAAAGTGAACCACCTGAAAGTATAGGTGAATGTCAATCTAAATGTGCACAAGATCACACCCACATTGAAGATTTTGATGCATACAACTGTAACCACATGGATTTCCTAAAAGAAAATATTGAAACTTGCAACAATTGGCAATCTCGTATAAGTAGAATGCCATCAAAATTCTGGCTCCCTTAACAATCATTCTAATGTAGAAATCAGTTTTAGAACTCCCATAATTTTTCTTTTGCAGAAATAGTATAGAAACTTAGACATTGAACCATCATAATTTGATAAATAATAAAAAGAAGAATATTGCATCAGAAGATGAAAAAATTTGAGTTGAGCACTCTTTTGAACAGAGCTGAGCCTGAGAGAATCACATCTGAAGCAAGATCCAAATGCATATAGATATTATTATTTTAGAACATTCATAAAAAATAACTAATAAGAGCCTATAATCACCTTAGTACCATGTCTGAAGCACCTCAGTCTCATAAAAACATCAATGAAATTGTTAAACCCCCCCCCCCACCCCCCCCTCCCTTTCCACGGATCGATTCAAAAGTTAGGGTAATAGTACCATGCTTGATCATACCAGAGATTTTAATAAGTAAGAAGAATGAGTTGAAAACTATGAAAAATCAAAGATGCACACAAGAACACAATCCACATATGCAAAGGAGAATCCATATGCCCAGCACAGACACAAATTATTAGTCCATAATTAGAGGAGATGTACATTTAAGTTCACATAGAAAGGATGATGTAGAATGGACTAGGTTTAAAATACCTAAATAGATTAGCAACTATCAATTCTTAAATAGAAAACTATGTATTATTTAAGAGTTTATATGAGTAACTTTAAAGCTTTATTTTTTTTGAGTATTTAGTTTTTCTCTCTTTATTAGTATTAGTATTTCTTAGTTAAATCCCATTTGGAAAAGGTTGCTTAGTAAACATTCAAATAATAAAGTAATCTCACTTTTGAAAAAGAAGTTAATTATTAAAAAAAAAATTACTTGAGAATTTTCTCAATTTTCTGATTGTATGATGCAATTAAATTCTTTAGAGGTAATAACCAAAAAATTTTTAAGTCTCAGAAATCCTAGATGTGATTTTTAGGTTTTATCCCAAATTCCTAAATAAACAAACTAACCTTCATTTCTCCTATATCAGAAGCAAATAAATGGTATATATCCAAGATGACTATTGTTATTTGGCATAAAGATTTCTAATAGTATCAATTATAATGACATACAAATTTAATAGAGGGGAAAAGTCATACTTGGTGGCATATTTTGTGCTTCAGGAGCAATGCGAAATCTCTTATAATTTTGAAGAATTTCACAAATTTCAGCAGGGCGTAGCCACCGATGTTGTGCTTCTGAGAGTATTTGCTCAATATCTGTATCCAACGCATTTCACCAGATGATAGTTAATCAGTAAGCAGAAAAGAAATTCACAGGAGAAATGTCAGAACCATAATAATAGCCACAGTGTTAATGGCAATCCTCAATTTCTTATTTCACAAGTGAACTGCTTGACTTTAAAAGAAAATTTCAATTGATGAAGAGTACAGTGAAAAATAACTTCCTATCATCGAAATAATCTGAATGAGAAATAGTCAATTAATTGTTGTGAGTTTGACTACCTTCTCTTCTGGGATACCAAAACATCAAAATCGAACTGAGAAGACTACTTCAATGAGAAGAGGGATGTAGCAACTAGACTAAGACCAGGCCAATTAGAATACAGCTACTTTATGAGTGTATAAGGATAGAGCATTATAGTTAGATGATAGAGGATAGGAAATCATAAACTAGACAGAAAGTAAAAGTTATTGAGGTGAAGTTAGTTAAATTTAAACTCAGTACTAAATCGCATAATTGACAATGGATTTAATAACTTAATTCATGACTGCAGGCGTTTTTCTGTAGTTTGGACATTGTAGGCCATATTCCTTTCCTCGTGGAACAAACTCATAAGGGCTTCCTTTCCAGGCTTATCTGTGTCAGAAAAGAACACTATGTGGTATCTTGCAAACTCTTCATAACAGTAAATAGTGAGCAAACAAGTAAAATACGCCAGTGCAACAAAATGAAACGCACTGATGCATAGTTTAAGAAGAAGTTGGAGCGTAGTCATACGGTGTGCCTAATTACTCCTCCCCTAAAAGTAATTTAGTTCGCTTTTCACTGTAACAAACAGATAAAAACAAAAGCTTCCATAGATAAAATCCAGAGAATCTCAAAAAACCCCCGAAGTTCTTCAATACAAAACCATCAAATCCACGGAGAAACACAAAATGAAAATTGAACTACTGAAAAAAAATTTAATCACCACAACTAGAAAAGCAATCGCGATCATACTCTCACATACAATCAAGCCACAACCGAAACTTAAAGAACAGAAACAAAACGTTCATTTGGTTTACCTAATGGATTGCCAACAGCATAGCGCTTTGTTTCCGCCATTGACGATGTTGTTTCTCCAATGCAGTCTGATCTCAAAACCTGCAAGCGGACATCCACAGAGCACTGTGGGAAAACAAAAAAGCAGATGAACAGGAGCTTTTTTTTTTTTTGTAGATAGCACTAGCAGAGGATGTGAAGAGGGGGCGAAGTGAACAGAAAATGATAATTATATGGTGATAACAACTTTAAGTTTGAAATAGAATCTTCGAGGATAGTGAGATTTACGCGGTGTTGTAATTAAACGGAAGAGGAAGGGATCGGTGTCGGGATTGAATTTCAGAATTGGAGTCACTGTTTGTAGTTAAGGGAGTTGGTGGTGGACTTTGTCAGTCCCCTTTGACGTAATTTCCGGAAAGCTGCCTTTTTTTTTTATTGATTTATTTATTTGGTTTTTCATTTTTCGTTTTTTGTTTCTTCTAATTTTTCACTGCAAAGTTTTTAATATGCCATTAAAAATCAAATAATTAATTAGAAAATCTATATATAATTTCAATTTTTTTTACAAATAAGAGTACGAAAATTTTATTTTATTTCTAATGAGTTATTATCATAAAATTTTAACTTTAATTTTATAAATTAATTTAAAATTTTAACTATTAAAATATAGCATACAAACATAATATATTATGAATGGTCAAACTGAAGACTAATAATATTTTAAAGCTGATTTAATGATTTTTTTATTTCTATAAATAACTAAATAAAATATAAATCTTATTTGTTAACTTAAATTTTTATCAAATTATAATTTAATATCAGGAAATTGTGAGAAAATAAATAGAAACAACCATTTTATGTATTTAGATAAAAATTAAAATCAATTATTCAACTGTTATTATTAATTGCTTACATTATCATGAAAATATAAATTTGAAGATAATTATTTGACTGTTATTACTAATTGCTTACATTTTCATTATATTAGTAAATTGTTTTATTGCTTATTTTCTTACAAAAAGATTTTTTTTTTTATTTTTAGTTATAGAAATGGTTAAAAATTATTTTTATTCTATTTCATTTAAACATTACTTTTTATTTTATTTTTCTTTCATTTATTTTGTTCATCTTTGCCATGTTTTTAGTCAAATACATTATTAGAATTCGTTTATGTTTCTATTAGAGTAATCTTTGAAAAATATAAAATAGTTTTTAATCATAAATATAATACCCGAACTCAAAATTTGACTTGAGAGTAATTTTAAAATTTTTAAAATATATATAAAAATATAAGTTTGAAATTAATAAATTTTTATTTAATGTGAAATTAGAAAAAAAAAATAGGTTGAGGATGAAATTGAAAATAATTTTTTTTTAAAAAGTGAAAATTTGGATTCGGATGGTGTTTTTGAAAGAAAAATCGAAAACTAGAAATTAAAATGTAATTAAAAAATTGCGCCACGTAAAACTGCCCAGTCAGCAGCTCCACAAATCGAAGTGCGCTGCGTGGCAAGGCACGTTGACTTGGTACCATACAGGAGACCACACTGGCAATCCGCGTGCCCTCGATCGGACGGCTCATACGCGTTCCTGCGCGCATGGACAGTCTGGATATGTTCCCTCCTCATGTGCGATCGGACAGTCGCGATTAAACGCGATGAACAGTCGAGATTTGTTCTCTTTTTAAATATGATCGGACAGTCGAGATCAAATCGCGATGAACGGTCCGGATTTAAGCGAAACGGGTATAAATATTTCGTATCACACTGAACCCAAACCCTAGCCGCCAGGCCCCCGCCGGAGAAGAAGAACCTGTCACCGGAGAAGGGAGCCGACCGTTACCTGTTGTCGCGCCAGAGCCACCTCCGACCACAAAAAATATAAAAATTCTTTTATCAACTCGGAATTTAATCCTGAGCATCCCCGTAGCCAAATCGGAGCAAAAAGAATAGCGGATAAATTGAAAATTGCGGGTAAAGTCTGGCAGCGCCACCACAGACAAAACTCAAAACCGCCTCCGATGAGCCCCTTATCGCTTCCCATTTCATGTGATTTTTTCATTATTGTGTTCACATTCTGTTTTCTACAAGCTGGCTAAAAAAAAATGTCCAGCCGCGAATGTGAGCTGGCAGAGCCACCGCACCAGACAATTTTGCCGCCAGTAAAGTTTTTGTTTTGACTTTTTTCAGATAATCGAGACCCCTTAACGTGTTTTCTTACAGGGATATGTATAAAAATGGCCAAAAACGACCATACCAAGGTAAACCACCGCCATGGGTGGTGGTGCCGTCGCTGGAGTATGGCAGTGCCACCATGCCAAAATTCTGAAATTAGTTGAAAAAGATTTTTAACACCGATTTTAAATTTTTTGAGGGTATTTTTAGGTATGTAAAACGTGTTTTAATCTCCGCAAGAAAATTCAGAAAATCCGGGGACTGCCAGTAGGTGCAGTTGAATGTTCGGTATTTCGAACACTGATTTGGGTAAGAATCTTTCACCTTATTCTCTGTCATGGAATTGAAGCTTAATAATTAGTAATATAGTATTTTGTGTAATTTAAAAATTTTTGAGAATAATTACAGGTTATCAATAGAGTCAGAAATCAGTTAGTCATTTATTTGTTATCATGTTTAACTGATGGTTGAATTTACAGCTTTAAATACATAATGATATTCTGGAATGGTTAATTGATTCAATTGTACTTTCTTGATATATATATTATTTATCTTGCGTGATTTACAGTTGATTGTGAAATTAGTAATTAATATGCAAACGAAAAATTAATTGGTCATATGAATTAATGAATGTTAATCTCGACCGTGAACGTTGTCTCATACCGGACAGGATATCAATGATTTGTATTTTTGGCGCTCATACCATATGAGGTATGGGGACAGCCCGATTTACCCTTATACCGGATGAGATATTGAGATGTGATATTTTTATCATTCATATCGGACGAGATATGTGGATGGCTGGTTAGTAGACAATGTTGAATATTGGTTCACGCGTAGTGAGACATCCATATGAGCATCCAGGGATACCAGTAGACAAATAAAAAGGAAAAGTTATTGTCTTTACTCACTTGAATATGAGATTGAAATGTTATTTTGATTATTGTCTCTATAGGTCGATTTTAGAAATCTTGCAACGGTAAATACATGCAATAAATAGTTTTTCTTATGATAAATGAATTTGTTTAAATTAAGAGTTCCACTAATTATTTTTATGATTTTTACCAACCTTAATTTCTGTATTTGTGAGTAGTGTGATATTTTTACTAGCTTAGTGTAGTTCACCCTTTCATTAACTATTTTAGATCAAGAGGATCAAGACCCAGATCCTGATTAACAAGAGGGTTATGAATAGTTCACCACCCGAACTCCTTCAAAAGTTAGTGAAAGTCGTCTTAAGATGCTCAGTTAATTACTTTTTATTTATGTCTTTAATTTTCATTTGTTTTTTTAGAAAAGACATTCTCCTAATCCTATTGGACATTCTAAATTAGTATCTAAGGAATGTAAACGCTAGCTCTATTATTCTGCTTCCGTATTTTAATTTATATATTTTTTTCTTTTAAATTTCGAGCTTTTATAACAAATAAAAGTTACATTTAAAATGAATTTAAAAAAAAAAACTATCACATTCTCATCTTCTATTTTTTGAACAGGTGATCTAGTAGTCATCAAAGAAAGGATTAGAGCAATATGTGAGACAACTTTTAAAAAGTACATACATAAGCATTTGTTGTGGCTCAAAGGCCAATTTGGTTCACTGCGAGAATGTCCTCAAGCTTTTATTCATTTAAGTATAGAGAAGGCATAGAAAAACTATCTTATGTTGCAATAATTGTGTCTCTTCTTCCCCAACTCTCTCTCTCTTAACTTTTTAATTCGAAAGTTGACTCACTGCTGTTAGTTATTTTAGGAAATCTACGATATGTCATTTTTGTGACTAGTCTGTTGAGCCAACCTCATTTTATATCTTTTTATGACTCTATTTTATAAATTATTTTATTTTATATTTTTCTTTTTCTGTGATTATTTTGTAGAAATTTTCTTCTGGCGATCAATATATTCATCTTCGGTGCCGCTAGGCCACTTGCTCGAAGAATAGAAAATTAGAGAAGATAAGAATTGTGGGGTGGATTGGTGAGGAGAAAAGAAGAATTAAGGGGCATGGGTGAACTTTGTTAGGTTATATATATATATATTGACTGATATAAACTGGCTTATATCTAAATTTTTTAGTGTCACGTAGTTATATTGATTTACTTTGTTTCAACAACTACAACAATGCCAACCTTGTTGTCAGATCTGCTTTACTTTTCTCTTATTCGTGAGGACAATTATGCTGATTTTTTAATCATGTGTCTCTTACTCTTAATTCTTGTATTCAATGTCAATCACTTCTCTCTTTCTCACGAATACTTTATAATGCTTGTAAATTTTGTTGACTTATGTTATTTTCAACCAATTAAATTGATAATCAACGACAATATTCATGATATCTTATAAACTAACTAAATTGATATTAAGTAATTATGTTGTTTGTAATCTCAAACCTTTAAAGCTCTCTAAATTTCCTAGTTTATTAAAATTATATTAATCTTTTAATTAAATAATAATTTTTTTTTTTATTTTGGTTAGTTCATAAAATTTTTATCATCTATATCTTACTTTCAATGGAATTAAAAAATAAATAAATTTTGTGTTCGATTCAGAATATAAATAAGAATATGATATAGTGTAAATAAAAGATCATTTTAATTTTAGCTTGTTCTAATTTTATCACCATCTCCAAATAAATTTAGTGTTCAATGCCTATTAAATAATTTTCTAAAAATGAGAATGTAAATGGACTGTTTTGAAATTGGATCATTACATATAAAATATATAAACTAACATTAAATTTTGCGTAAAAATATTTAATATTTAAAAATTAAATGAGAAAGAAATAGAAAAAAAATCAGATGCGACAATAATTAATTTAATTTCAACGAACAAAATTTAACAAATTACATTTATGTACTTCTGATTGTTTGTGGGCTCAATAGGCCCATTTAATCTTAACCCAGTCTCCTATAAACCCCATTTAAATTCAGCTTCCTATTTTAATAAATTTGAGACGCCTTCGTCATTCTCCAACACGCATCGACACATACATAGATATATACGTACACCCACAGATATATTTAATATATATATATATATATATATATATAAAAGGAAAATTAGAGGATACTGCAGAGGCATGGGTTGAATTAGTGACAAAAACAAATTAAGTAGCTATATAAAGCATAAAAAGATGAACAAACCATACATTCAAAATCAGTAATTTTATTATTACCTTTTGAATTGAACTGTAACCTTGTAAATTC